GGTTGTTTTAGTATGCAACGGGTTATTCATTAGGAAAAATTGTTGGAACAATTACCAATAAATTGATAGGTGTTCATTAGATATGTTCACGATGAAGTACCTGGACATGAAACTAGGTTAGATATGCACCTTAATTGACTAGCCTTCAATATCAACATGCATCCACAGAATTTCTCAGTGCAATTTGAAACGAGCCAGAAACTAACCGTGAAGTCTTAATCCAAGAAGTTTAATTCAACCTATATGTTAAGTTTCCAGAAATAAACAGACACTAGCTATTGGAATCTTCAGTTCAGTTGTGTAACTATTGGGTCATTAGTTCGGGATATCCTCCACTCACTTTCCGTTAGGCATTTCAATGATGTCACAACGTTTTACATAGTGTAATACCTGGCGGTACAAAAATGTGTACTAGTTTACTTATTTCCCTGTCAGATAATCGGACCGAACTGTCATCAATAGTTTTCATTTGAAAACCCCTTAATATGGTAAGCACATGAAGTATAACAAGTCTTTCTAATTGTATACATGTATTACTTTGTAGGACAACTATATCCTAACATGTCTGTGCTCTAATTTTATGAACTTAAAAATGCCTATGATATTCTCTTTTAGATTATCATGGTCACTAACATTTCCTGCTAGTGTTTTATATTTTCACATCTGTTTAAGTTTGTATAAGTATTGCTAAATTTGACCTAATGGCGTTCAGTGTAAATTTTAATTCTTCAAAGTAATACTGCAAAGTCTGTCTTCATGCTACGATATTATTGTATCATATATACATTATATCTAGCGGAAATGGAAAGTCTTAAGTTATGGGATCGAAATCAATACCTCGGACTTCGGCTGAGAGTTCGATATTATTCAGCTATCAACTCAGTCGCTCACATATCTTTCATAGGTAGTTGCGGATCATGATTTGCACAGATTAACAGGTTGACTGTAAACGCATCTGTATAACATGGTATTTATCTTGATTAACTTAGTGTTACAAGGTGTATACTAGTTCGTAAGTTAAGTGGTGGCTTGGCTTTTAACCAATAGGCAACAAGTTCGACCCCACCACACCTCTAGTTTAGACATCTCCATAACAAAACTAAGCCTTTGACAGTATTTTTAGAAACCGAGTACATAAACTCTTCCTTGGCTAGTGATTTATATGGAGTTAATTAATTAGATCAATCTCACTGAGATAGGATATAATTGTATTATTAGCAGTAACATCAGAACAGCTAAATAGTCTAGCAAGAAAACTTTTATCATTCATGAATTGGTAAGAATTTCCTCTATCATTTAAGGTAGAGTGATTATTTGCAAAACCTGGATCGGTTGATAGTCTGTTAGGCAAGTGTTATATTAGCTATTAGCTACTCACCAGTCAATACATTGCACTTTGACCTACATTTTTTACGTGACTTTTAAATACACTACTTTAACGCAAATTCGATTCAGTGCGTACAAGTTGAAGAATTAGATGTTATTTGCTAAATAGATAGGCGAGTCTACACTGAGTTTGGTCCCAACAAACATACGGGATTTCAATTGTGACCCGAGTAACTCAGCAGCAGTGTAAATTACTGTGATAGATTTCAATACCCTGAGGATAATCAGATACATCAAGGTTGCAAATGTGCCTCAATGATGATTGTTGTCTAGCACGAAACAGACTCAGGACCTCTCACTAGGCTTCATGTTTAAAAATAGTTAACTGGTGTACAGTTTCTAGACCGTGTTCTCCCTAACTATCCTAATTTTTAAGTTCGTTTTATCATTGAGACGAAAGACTTCTTAATGCTTCTTTGTTTTTATTACCCTCAAAAACTAGTGAGCCTCAAGTGGTTAGTGATTTTACAAAACGAAATTCCAGGTAACGTATAGTCGTATAATGCAAATTCCAAAGCGATCTACTGTTTGTCCTGATTTTAACCTAAATACAAGATAAAAGTAGTAAAAACAACTAACGTTTAATTAAAGAAAAATCAGGCTCTGTCTGGTAATTATGAGGTTTTCCTGATATCCGAGACTACTAAACGATATTTTACATTAGAACATTGTTGATTATCAACTACCGATTTCTTCCAAAGCTCTGGTTAATTGTGTTCGTCAAACTTCCGATGCACACTTATATCTCGATGTCACTGTTTGTTAAACACAATTTTTACTACAGAAATCTGGAAGCTCACTATAAGATAAAGAGTAGAAAGCTCTCATGGGGTCTTCAATGAAGAAAATAAAATGCTTCCGGTGAGTGTGAACTTAGCTCCCAATTAACAAGTAGTGGCTTATTCCGTATTTATACCAGTCAGGTGTTTGATCTGGCTGCAAGCTTCAGCATAATAACTACCATATCGTGTCAGATTTAACCAATTTCACGACACTCAATCTTATTGAGATGAGTAGTTTTGTGAAAAACTAATATTATGGTTTTGAGGAAAATTCCGTTGCGATAAATCAATAGCTGAAAGATGATTTATTGAACCTCTGTCCATCGAGTCAATACCCAACGCATGCAGTAAATATTTCTAAAACTATACCCCCGTCAAACTGCGGAATCTCGTTCGTCCGAATAGTAAAAGGATTTTCCCAGTAACTGGGATATCATTGTAAATGTGTGTGGAATACTTATCGAACAATTTCATATCACTTTGCTATATATCTCACAAACAAGCAATCATGGTGTTATACAGCACAAACATCTCCGCAGATTGTTAGTTGCAGACGATATTGATTCTGAAAGTTTAGAAATTATAGGAGGTTTTGGGGATAAATATGAATTGGACTGGACTATTTATTTATTTGAACACATGAATATTGGTACAAGAGAGCGCCAATATATATGCGCCACACAAAACAATGAGAATTCGGAGAGAAATAGAAAAAAAAACTAAGGAGCGCAAAAAAAAAGAGAACAATAACGAAGAGATTGGTGTAAGGTAGTGTGGTAGTAACGAGGGAACGAAAGGTACAATCGGAAGAAATCTTTCAGGTAAGGGAGACACAACCACTTTTTATGAAGAAAGTAAAAGAAGGTTACAGCAGGATCGCCACTGGCTTCTATTCTGAGCCATATCTGATAACGTCTCTAGCCACTGTGTAGCACCATCTCTCAGACCCCAACCAGGGAGTCGTGAAGCACCGACAGAAGCCAGTCCTTTGCAGCTTTCTTTCATGCCACGACACCATGTCATGCACTGACCACCTCTCCGCTTCTTCCAACCAGTCCCAGAGTCGGCAAATAATGCACGACGTGGAATTCTCTGGGACGACATTCGTAGAACATGTCCAAGCCACCGAAGTCGGTGTTTCAAGATGGTGACACCAATTGAATTATCATCTCTGTGCCCGAGAACACGACGCCGAACCTCTGCATTACTGACATGGTGTTGCCACTGAATGTCAGCAATCCTTCGGAGACAGCGATGATCGAACACAGAGAGTCGTCTAACGTCCTCAACTCGGAGAGGCCAGGTTTCACAAGCATAGAGCAAAACTGCTCTCACCGACGCGTTGTAGATCCGACCTTTTACAGCCAGACTAACATCACGAAGGCGCCAAAGGTGGCCCAGATTGGCATAAGCCGCTCTGGCTTTCACTATACGTGCATTGATCTCATCACTCACACCCCCACCAGCACTTATGCAGCTACCCAGATACACGAACTTCTCGACTACGTCTATCTGCTCACCATCCAGGGTGAGTACAGGATTGGAATCCTGCCAGTCTTGTAGAAGTACTTTGCACTTCGAAGGTGCAAAGCACATACCATACCTACGGACACTGATTGCCAACTGATTAAGTGCGGATTGCATGCCTTGGGCATTATCGCACAGTAAGACAATATCGTCCGCATACTCAAGGTCGAGAAGTCTTTCTCCAGGCAACAGATCCACACCACCATTACTTACATTCATCAGAGCTGTTTCCAGAATGTCATCGATGGCAAAGTTGAAGAGGAATGGTGAGATTGGGCAACCCTGTCTAACCCCACTGCTCGAATGGAACAATGGAGAGAGGTGGTTGTATGCCCTCACTCTGCCTGAGGTGTTTGTATATAGGGCTTTTAGGATGTTAATAAAATCCTCAGGTACACCCTTCTTCAATAGACAATTTCAGAGAACAGCCCTGTTGGCCTGTTATAAGTGTGACGGTGTTCTAACATTTGGTGGAGGGTGAAGATATGATCAATACATCCTCGACCAGAACGAAACCCAGCCTGCTCCTTGAGAGTCAATCTTATCGGGTTTTGAACAACCTACGAAGTATGACGGAAGCCAATAGCTTGGACGCAATCGGAAGTAAACTTATCCCCCGATAGTTGTTACAGGAACGACGTGAACCCTTTTTAAAGATAGGGACAACTGTCGACTCATTCCATGACGTTGGTACACTCTCTAGTCCCCAAACCTTTGTAAACAACGTCGTCAATTCCTTAGTCAAAAAGTCACCACCATCTTTAAAAAGAGCCGGAGGTAAGTCATCTGGGCCAGGTGATTTGTAACGCTTCAAGAGTTGGAGTTCCTTGCGGACTTCCTCCTCGTTTGGTGGATCAGTCGTCACCGGCCATGGAGGGCAGAACAGTCTGACCGATGTTGCTGGAGCAGCAGGCCAGTTGAACTGCCCTTCGAAAAATTCTGGACTGGACTAATAGCATTCGTTTAGAGTGCGGTATCAAGAATCTTAGAACAACATAAAAAAAACGTCCAAATTCATAATTCGCACTAAACCACACAATGGAGATCCCTCCACAGCTTAAACCTGTCGCCCCATAATGTTAAATTTAAAAGTGGCATAGCCGGTTAGGACTATTTTGAGATGGATATGAGATGATAATTTGTGCAGTGATTACACCCGTGTAATGACAATAAACTCTAATAATTATCCTATCACTAGTCTACATCGAATTCCAAACTTGGTTACAGTAATAGATAGTTTGTTTCTCAGCATACTTTGTCTCCATATATTAGGAAAAATATGCAAACCAACATACTGAGGACATATTTCGATAGTACTTAAAACAATTACTATCTTTTTTTATATTTATGGTTATATCTTCAAAATCCAGTTGGAAGGAAAAAAGCCGCAGTCGTCTCAATCTCAGCCAGAATTTTTAGAGGGCAAGATTTCACAAATCAATAAGAACAATACGGTACCACGGAAAAATTTGCAACTAAAATAAATTTGGAAATATGTCCAAAACTCGCAAGTCATTTAACTCCAATTCCATAAAGTATCATCAATAACTGGAGTATTGACACCGATGATCGGCTACGTTTGTTATCTAACTCAGGAGTTTTGCGAAACCGTATAATCTGTTTATAATAGTGAATATTTGTTCGCTTCCTTCTTTAGGACGTATGTTAAAGACACTAGGGAACAATACTCAGGGACTGAAATCTTGCCTCCTATATATTAGAGCACGAGGTCAGTAGAATGGAGGTCTGTATTTTTGGTTCCATCTTGACTAATGTTTTCTGGTGGTTAATCACTGTTAGGACCCAAGTTGACATAGCACTAGGATGGCTGGATAAAAAATCAACAAAATGAGCACAGAAGCAATAACAGTAAGTGCGACGAAAAGCCACGGTACGTGTGCCTTACGCAACATGTAATGGTCGTCAGTACCGAAGGAACGAGGGGACTAGCGGCGGCCAGATATGGTATCAGTCCACAGAGTCACTAACTTTTGAACTAGGATGTGTGGGGAGGTCTACACCTCCTCACATTCAGGCTTAACAGATAACTGTTCAAAGTCTGGATGATAAAGCAATAAATTAGTTGCAGTTCTCATTCTTCTTACTCTTGAGTTTAGCATTATTACGTAGTTTATATTAATGAATTAATTCATATATTTCAAATAATCATCCAGTTTAGTTTGTCCACTGCTATTTTCATTCTGACTCCTCTTTGTTGAATTTCTCAGATAATCTAATGTGGTAACGAGCCGGTACATATCCATGTCTTAAGTTATTTACGGTCGGTTTCAGAGCATGAAAACCCAGGGATGAGGCAACACACTCGAGAAAATGAACTATTTTATTGGTAAAATTGACAAAAATTATGCCACAAGGAATTCGTTACATAATTAAAACCCTGTAGAATTAAATAAATGTATCATAAAATGAAGCTATAAAAATAGTTGACGCAGAATAAAATTCAGTGAAATGCATAAAATGAATCTTGGTATAGAATTGGAGAGCAATAAATATGTACAAGATTATACACAAATTTTTGTAAGTAATGGATGTTCTGATCGGTACTTAGTTTAGATGCTATTTAATGTTAACAATAAGCCTATTTTAATCATCAACAGTTAGATCAATTGAAATATCAGAAGATAATACGGGAACAGACTGGCCTAATATAGCGGCTGTGACTGGACCAGGAGCTTGCGGATGCAAAGATTTCTCTTTTGGCCAAGGAGTAACAGGTTTAATGTTATTTACTGAGTGGGTTTCATCGATGTTAGTTAAATTATATGAATTAAGCAGAGTTCCCTCAAACGTAAGACTACTGTTAGTGATCGGCTTGTAACATATATTATTTATTGTTTGTATATCTTTGGAAGCTCTTTCGCTACTATTTACAAGAATGATTTGAGAAGTGTCTGAGGTATCAGAGGAATTAGTGGATGTTTGTATTTCGAATGTCGAGTGGTTAATTTTTTTTAACCTTCGTTTAAGCTTCCCAGCTCGTCGTCTGTCAAGGGATATTATACAATTATCTGGTTCGTCGGATACTTCATGATTTTCTTCACTATTACAATGAGACACAATATCTTTAGTAGGAGAATTAGTAATAGCATTATCCGGTAGGTAAATACACACTTTTTTAATAGATTTTTCTTTCGACTGCTTTTTACACATGTCAGTAGATCCTACTAGCTCACTCGTTTTATTATTAACGAAACTGAAATTATTACTAGCCTTATTTTCTTCTAGAGGAGGACATGAACATCTTTGTGATTTCGCAAAAGCATCTCCCGAAAAGGGATTCATTGCGTGATGATCACAAGTTTTGGAATTTGTGGAGACTGGGTCGCATGAGCTTGAGGAAATGGGTAGATCAGACTTTGAACCTGAGATGGGAACACTTTTATCTGGCGAACCATTCCGATCGTGAACATCTCGTGGGGGCTGAGAAAATTTGGACTTTGCGTTCTGAATATCAGCATTCTTGGGAGAAATAGTAGGAAAAGCTCTATTTTCAGTGATGATATCTTTATCACAAATGGATGGAGATGTATGTGGGGGTATTTTAGCATGTCCATTACAAGTCTTTTGTAGTGAGTTCGATAAGGTTGATGAGTTTGAAATGACTGTATTTGCAACATTTGGAGATATGATCGGATGATTTACTACAACTGAAGACTGATCTGAATAGCCGTTCTCGATTTGATTGGTATCGCATGCTATCAAGTTCTTGAAAGTTGGTGTATATGATATTCGTACATTGTTCTGAAGTAATGGGTCATTATCTTGAGAGACTGTGAGTAAGCACTCGACAGGTGGTGAAATATCATTTGTAATCTGACAATCCTGATTAACATTAGTCTCACTATGAGCATTACAATATTGTGTATCAACTGAATAGGTATCTTTTTTTGATTCATTGTCACTCAAATTGGATGTAGGGTGATTCTGGCAAGGTTCACACAAATTTTGAACACATGATTCCATCAGTGTTGCTTCTTTAGACGATTTTTTATTGGTGTCTGTTAAATCAAACTCCAGCCTACTGTTACTGACGTCAGTGACTAAAAGATTATTCACACTAACAAAAGATGAATCATGGTAGTTAGTTTCTCTAATATCTGAGTTCAGCAAATTCGAGTTGTTTTTTAAAGTTGGCTGAGTAAGTAAATTTTCAGTAGTTCGATGACTGCGAAGATCTGATGATGCGAACGTGGATGTATTTGTCGTGCTATCAACTGGAAGAAATTGGTCAGAAGGGGTGAGAATATTTATATCAGGTGGACAGCTAGGAAAATGATAACTAACAGTTTGCGGTACAGGAGATTTAACACTTAAATCTGAAGTAACACTAACCTGCTCACTAGACAGCGTTTCACAAACAAAATTATTGCTCGGTGAAAAATGACATGCACCAGCCTTATGGCTTTTATTATTAACCATGGAAGGTAATTCTGTTTTTAGGTTAGAACTGGATATTCTAGTCGAAGTATCTTGCGAAAATGTCAGTTTTGAGTAGACAAACTCCTGTGTATCATTGCTGAGAGAACTAACGTTTTGATTGGTGTGTTCCTGTGAGTTTGTTTGGACTATATGTTGAGTAAGAATAAAACTGGGATGAACTGGTGGCCAAGACGATAACGAAATTATGCCAGGCTCTTTCAGAAATAAATGAGATGAATTATTTTTGGAACCATATGGAATACTTAAAACAGGACATGGTAACTTCAAATTTCTATATAGCCACTGACAATTCCAGCATTTAGCAAGTATCTTGAGAAGGTTTATCATTTCGTTACCAATAGATCTTAATTCTGTTTCATGCTGACGTCGAGCCCAAACCTCAATTACATCATACTGGCTTTGCAGTGATGAAAAGAAATACTTCAAGTCAATATCAGCACGTGAATTAACTTCAGTGGATAAACCTTTGTAAGCTGGAATCCAAGAGTTAGTAATGGATGTATAGGTCTGTGATAGTTGATTCTTGAAAGATAACACTTTTTCCATAACTAAATGAAGATGTTTAGTTACATCAATAGTTAGATATTCTAATAGATGAAAAGATGTTTCAATAAAGAGAGAAAAGTTAAACTTTGGTATTACATTTGACAAATGAGCTAGTTTTTTCACATATTTGAGCGACTCGACAACCCATTGTTTGGAGTTTAGTAAAGTCAAGTTTCCATCATTGTAAGACATAATATTCTGATTGTAAAATGGACCAAATAAGAAAGTATTTCCAGTTAAGTGACGTAAACTATGGTATATACGTTCCAATAGGTTTATTAGATTAAGAATATGAGGGTTAACCTCTTCATTAAATATGCGACCAATATTATCTCGAGCAACGGCTTCTGATTCGAAAAGACGTGCGCGACCTCGAGCAATACGTAAATAAGACAATTGTAGAGTATCGTTACAGTGGGTTTTTGAAAGTTCATATCTTGCTCTTAGACAGGCACCAGCTGACATAAGCGATGCATAAGAATCACGTAGTCTGCACAAACAAACAGATACAGCTTGATGTAAATGTTGCATGGTAATGAACAAATTAACGAATAACTGTTCATTCAACGGGACATTCAAATTGTAATGCACACTTGGCTTGGTATCAGTAAAAACATGAATGCAAGTGTTATGAAAAGAATTAATAAGCAGTCCAAATCCTGCAATATGATAAACGGGCAAACCGAAATTCGTTTTCAGTATAGTTGTAAGTGATTTTGGAAGACAATCAGATAACTTTGTATACAATTCCAAATCATGATGGCCACCATGTAGGTTATCAAGTGATGAACATTTCGTAGAATCGTTCTCGTTTGTTCGCACGATTGGTAACAATGAAAACGCACTTGGCATTTGTCCAGGTTTAATAGAGAAGGTTTTTGCAAAGCTTAAAATACGCTTTTTTGCATCTGGTTTAAAAATTAAATATGATAATGTATGTAGTAACATTTTTGGACAACAATCGTACCAAGTTTCATGTAATGGCAAACAACTGTACGTAACAGTTAATATTTCTTTTAAAATATTATCAGAATACCAGTGTACAATAAATAGTGGAGTAGATTTTGAAATGGTGCATGAATAGTGTGGTAAAGAAATCGATCTTAAAGGTGATAAACCAGTTGATGTATAAATATGAATATCACCTGAAGGTATTCTACGACAATAATGTCGACAGTGTTTTAAAACATTTCTTAAAACTAATTGATTTCTACGATTTACTAGTAATAAATATAAAATTCGTAAGACATCTCCAAGTAACAAATGAGATTTCATTTCACTTCTAAAATAGAAAATTTAAAAGTAAAAAGTTACTATTAGAAATTATCGAAATATCTACTTTTAGATAAAGGAGGCTTTCAGATTAATTTCCATAAAACTTATTAAAAAAAAACGCATGTTGTATGACAATGTTCGCTGTTCACTTAAAGCAAGAGGGTTCGGTGTTAGCAACTTCAATTTTAAATGGTTTATAAAAATTAGATTTTTGATTCATTTTCCTTGACCAATAAAATTTATTTGATTGAAGTCATTTTATTAATGTTAACTAGATATGAACATGTGAAAATGTCGATCATGGATTTTAAACAACGGTAGAAAATTTTGGAAAGTACGCAGCTAACGAAACCGATATTATTCACAAGAAGGTTATGTGTAACTGGTTGCAAGTAATTGCCCTTTGGGGGGACTGGCCATACTTTCAAGTGGTGTGACTAACAAGGAAATGCAAATTACCAGCATAGCACTTAGGATAATTTTATATCCCAAATACAACCACCAACTTATTCAAGTAATTGGTGAACTCTTGCAATATTGTGATACATAGCTAGACGCTAGATAGTACCTGGTACGATATTTCTGTTTACACAGCTACTGATACAGTACTACAAGTGAGATTTAGTATTGAAGTAACTTTTTCCATGTTGTCATCTGACAGTTATTACATTAATTAATGGTTAGCATCTGAGTAAACAGGACCTTCTTCCCAAACAATGATAAATATACATAACAAAATATATAACTGATGAAATTAAGATTGGTGGCCGTGTGGTGTGTGCTACTTATACTGACATAAGTAGTATATGACGTTACTCGTGAACAGAAGGTCTGGCAGCAGAGAGACAAGGGGATCGAACAGTAAAGAATGGAAACAAATGCGACTTGTATGAAAATGCAAGAACAATGAAGTCTGAGTCATTATGAGAGAACTGATGGACATTTTCAAATTACGTATTTACTATTTGATTGTTAGATTTTATTAACAAGTCCTGTAATTTTGAGTCAAATACATTTGATTGTCCCCGCTGGTGTTCTTGTTCACTACAGCAGCACTGTTTAAATAACCGCATAAAATGCTGACATATTTATCTAAACGACTATCACTAATATATGACACAGTAATGTAATTATTCTATGAAGTGAGATTTTCATTTGAAATAATAACAAGTGTGATAGATCAAGAAAAACAAACGGACAAAGAAATTCCTGTGAATTATCATAAACTAGAAAAGAAGAATGAGTAGGGAAAGCTCACTTTTCATATCTTGATGCATAAGTATAAACCCAATGTGGAGTCTGTGATAGTTTCGCTTTTGGATCTCTATCGAAATCAAGTGAAGAAACTAATCGAATTCCAACAGAATCTTCTGTTGACCGCAATTTCCATTTCTAGTGAATAATATAAGTAGGGAAGGAAAAAGAAATACTGTTTAAGGAATAAGAAGAAAAGGAAAACTATTTACATATTTTGATGAACAAAAGTTTGAAGAACATTTGACCATTTTATCCACAAAGTGTGTTAATGATAAAACGAAAGAGAAATGTATGGATTTCGTCTTTACATTTAAGGATTATTACATGTACTGTCAGCGGTATTGACTTTGAGGATATTTTGAGGAAAAAAAGTAGTTGGAGGACTTGCATACTGTAAGTATTAATCCCAAGGTTGGACTTTGTAGTTTCAAATACACCGAGCATTAGGTAGAAAGTTAATTATAAATACATTTCATTGTTATATCCCAGCAAATGGAGAATTGCATTTCTAATGTTTCATGACTTAATGTGAGCCACTTCTTCGGTTATTTATTTACTCCGAGGAAGTGGCTTACATACAGTCATGAGACATCGGAAATACAATTTTTCACTCATTGCGATATAACAAAAAAAACTATTTATTATTACACACTGATTAAAAAGGTGAGAAACAGATAATCAAATTTACAGTATGGGGTTATGGAGATTGTTGAGTTTCATTGAAATCATGAACGACTGAAAACCTGGAAGTACTGGACGGTCCTTTCATCCGTGTATAACACACAGTAGCAATAATTCTGCTTTTATTCACTATGTATGAGTGCATTTATTTAGCAAAAATGTTAGGCTATTATGATGTTAATTTGAAGTGTGATAATTTGCCTCATAGATATATATAGTATACACTTCATTTTACTTAACCAGTGATGATAGGACATTGCACAATAGGACTGTAAATCAATTGTTCTATAACTATAAACGAGGTTCTAAACTTGTTCATAAAGTTGTATTTCAAAATACATCAAATCGACTACTTAGGCATGTTTTCTATTCGATTATCGTATAAAATTGTTTTGTAGAAATATAGTTAGCTTTCGATAAAACATAAAGATGTTGGATATATCAAATGCAAAGAAACAGACCACTTACATAGTTAGGGGTAACTTGGGACCTGTATAATGTAGACAGTCTGGTTGTTTTCCGGAGACTCTTAGAAAACTGATGAGATCGGTGACGAAGTTGGCGGCTTTTAAGAACACAAGGATTTTTGTAATGTGGTGTGGCTGTAAGAGAGAGTGAAATCATTGAGATTGGTGGTCAAGTTTTAGCCATTAGGGAGAAATAGAAAAGTTTGATGTTACATGTGGTGTAATACGCTTGTGGCTGGTAATCATTTCAAACACATTCTTACAATAACCCCTAACTTTATTGAGTATGTTTATATCATTAATCCAAAGTGAAGCAGGTACTGAACGTTTACTCCTACCCAATTCATCTACAATTCATTTGAACATTATAAACATTCACTATTTATTTTGAAACATATTATTACCTTGTATTTTATGGATTTAACTGAGACCCACAAATTTCTTCGCGTGCCTTAGTTTTAGTATTCGATACTATTGGATGTTTCAACTTATTATTAAGGATTCCTTAATGAATGAGATCAACATTATATCATACTTTACTAGTTTTACAAAGATTTTTTTGATTTATTAATCAAAATTGAAATACTTTTTTGTTTTTATAGGACTAGGGCTTCGACCAAGTCGTGTGCTATCGGTCATACCCATTTGGCCATTTAATTAACTAGAACTACGTAACAACAAGAGTATATTAAGACAGAAAGTATGAAATAAGCAGAAGTGGTTCCTACAACATAATTTATTCACTTATACAGTGTATCAGATTGCGTCTGTCTTCACAAGCTAACCAATCACAGAATACACTGACTAGGCACCAAATTAAAATTGCAGTAATGAATAAATGAAGTAATGGTGGCATCTATTTTGACAGTTTACAAGCGAGTTGACACATGAAACACTGAATACATCTATTAGTCACTGCTTACGGAACAATAAATAACGAGATACAGATCTCGTTACATCAATTGCCTTTCTGATAACGATTCATAACAAGAATTTGCAGTCGATTTACTTGCTATATTTTATATCTGCTGGAAAATTCTAGATTTATAAGTAGTCAGGTATTATTAAATAGGTTAAATGTTAGGTCCATGTCGCCTCTGTTGAATCCGCAATCCTACTGCACGTATTCGGAAACCAGAACCATTGTAATTTCCATGCCACAAGCAAGAACACAAAAGATTGAGGCACGTAGAGATTTATTGACTAATCAAAAAGATGTCCCCAAAACAAGTCGTTCAGATGCATTCACAACATACGCCCATTTATGTGCTGACTTTTAAACACAATAGTACCAGATATAAGGAGAAATACATAGTTCATTAAAATATATATAAAAGTATTCGTACATAAATTAACAATATTATCGCACTTTTCAAAATACGTATGCACATATAATGAAAGTATTTTTATGCATATTGAAATACAAGAAATAATATTAACTACAGAGAGAACTATCGAGAAGATACAACTACCTACTGTTGATTGTAGACATATGTCAGCTTATTTCACAATAAGCTCTATATATGAGATAATTGTAATCAACTGCCAAAGACCCTAAATGTTATCATCCAAAAATCGATTATAGTAGTATAGATGAGTCTGCTTATTATCTTTCTATAAAAATTGAATACTGTAATATTTTATCCATCTTATTTGCTATATTTACTTATTATTAATTTAAAGACATAAACAATGGTATAAGGATGCACCAAATATATTCGCCACACAAATCATTCGATTTGTGTGAGGGCTGGATACTGCCTGGTTGCCCAAACCGAAGCAGGTGATTTCCTTAGGGGCCACACCCGGAGCCGTCGACCTAAAGGTCTGGTCCACAAGGCAGTAGAGCAACATAAGGAGATGCAATCCCATGGTAGCCGGTGACCAACGGTTGGTCCATACGCCATTTGTTCCCTCAGGATACTGGAGCCCATGTGCACCACTGATTTGCAATCAGGGTTTTCCAACTCCTCTAGGTGAACCCTCTGTGTCCACCAACCCAGTTAAAACGCTGAACATTCTCTTTTCGTCCTCTCAATTTCGTAAACAACACTCCCGCCACGAGGAGGTAGTGGTTGTATGCACGTGACCACGTGAGAGCATTTCGAGAGAGAGGGATGACTCTCCCCACTCTAGGCCGTATCAGGGCATTTGGGGGCAAAACTGTGACGCGCCGGGAGTCGAACACCGGGCCGCCTGGCTGAGAGCCAGGAATCTTAACCGCTAGACTTACTTAGGTCTTCCGATTTTTCTTCTTAAAGTTTCCCACTGCTGTTAGTACCTTTATTTTCATTCGTCGAAATTTTGATGTCTTTCCGCTCTGTACTGATGATTGATGTGTGATCAAAGTTAAAATAATGCATATTTATGCCATGTAGAGGTCAAGAGACTACTAGAAATAAATTGAGTGAGATTTACATCAGAAACCTAGCAATTAAAAATGGTACTTAGAATATTAAATCGGAGCTACATTGATTGTCGGGTCTGCAGAATGGAGCTGCAGTGAAAGTCGAGTTGTGCAATCCTTGGAATATAAGCGAAACTCTTTCATTTACAAGTGCACCAATATATCTTCCAAAAGCATGGATTATACTATAGCCACTTACATAGTTGGTTTCATATTAATGATAAAATATACATATAAATATTCATTACCTACATGGACCACATTTTTCCTCTTCATCCTAAAAATAAAAAGGACAAGATAAACAGTAAGGTTTAACAACTATACAATATGGTGGTTACAATGTATAAAAACTAATAAAATCGCATACATCGTTTTTCTTAGTGAGACATATTTAGGATTAGACTTAATATTATTTACCTTAATTGAACTCAGCAAAGTATCAGAGGGACGGGTGATAATCAGGATCTAGTTGATAAGTGGTGTTTCGACTCTGGCACAGCATAAAACTGAGATCTTCGGAAAAGAGATCCTAATTTCACAGGTTCGTGAAATAAGCGCACAGAATAGACTGATAGAGAACAAATTCACAGTGCTTAACTGGGATTTCTAAAAAGTGTATTTACGCTTTAGAATAGATCAACATCGAAAATGTTTTAAAAACAGATGCTATATTTGCCTGTTGATCGATAGACATTACGATGTACAGTATTTCTGGCTTTCGAATAATCTCATTAGTTGTAAAGTTGAACGATAACATCCACAAAACAATTTTTAGTGACTTAGGACCGCTCAAACAGTTAAACTTCTGTCTGAGACTATCTGCTGAGTGAAATACGGATTTAAATTTAGGTTAGTTAAATCATCAAGCATGGGGTAAAAAGCAGATGATTCATAAGGCAATATAAAATATCGTTTAGAGCAGTAAGAAACAGTTTTTGAATAAGTCTTTGTAAATCAGTCATAAATAGTTTAACTGAGGCTAGGCAGTAGCTAATCCCCACATTCGATGCTGTTTCAGAATAAAAGCTTCTACATAGTATTAGAAAAGGAAAATAACTTGAAACCAACTGATGCTCCATGACACTAAAACGCGATATGATAGCACGAATTTCAACGATCTTTGATTTCATAACTGATATTTGTTATGTTGTAAAAGTCTACTGTTATGTCAAAACTAATGGATAAAATACAAACATCAACTTACGGAAAGAATTTCAATTACATCTGATTCATTCGTAATTGGTGTAAGCCTTTGAGATTCCTTTGATTGTGTGATTTTATTTTTAGATTGTGAAGCGAAATCTTGTGTTGTCTTATCTGATGAGTGACTTGATTTGTTAACATTTAGATGACGTAATTGAGCCTTTGTTCGGGGCCGGTTCATATTACTAATCATTACAGTATTATTTTTAGCAAGTATTGCAGATGGATTTAGAGTAAAATGGCTAGCATCAATCTCCATGTAACCGTGGTCGGAAAGGTGACGAGGTGAACTCTTATTAAACTCTGAGGGATTTATTTGTTTGCCAGATATTGTACATAATTTTGATGGTGAACACAACTTCGACATTGCCAAGGCCAACTGAATAGGGTATCTTAGTAGTGTACATTTTTTATGAATATACTCTCGTAAAACGGGATCATCGTTATATGACTCGCTAAGACCATTAGTTGATAAACTCAGAGGAATCGAAGGATAGTGATGAGTACCGTGAGGTGTTTCTTGAATAACGGTCATACGCCTAGACGAAACAGATAGTGCATGGAAATCCCCCATTTGTGAACCAGAGGTATCACTAGAACAGCTATTCTGAGTTGAGGAATTCCAAGACGTGGTCGGCGATTTATACTTAGAATTTATAAAATCAGCACTAGCACCAATTACATTTGATATACATACACTCTGTGAAGGACCTGGAGCAGGATTTGGTGAAATCTGAATATCATTCCTGACTGATGAAATGGCTTTGCAAATACCTGTTCTCTGATTCAACAAGTTATCAGCATGATCACCATCATGAATCAGCATAGAACCAACAGTTTTATTGCTGCTGTTAACAGTTTGATCATTAAAGTGTACATGAGATGTCGATGTATCATTAGCCTCAGGCTTGATTAATAATGAAATATTACTGTCATTACCATGAGACGCATTTCGTGTACGCGAAATTGTATCATCTAAAAGCGATAATTAGCAATACATATTTTATGAAAACCCTACAGACCAATAAATGGTTTAATATTGTATAAGTAATCAAAATTGTAAAGGAATATTGTGGAACCGAGGTTTAGCGTTCCTGCCATACTGATATTTAAAATCAACTACACAGTCCTTCTTTAATGAATAACCGCAAATGATATCAGTCTGTGATGTTAAATCAGGTAACTGACTATAAAAAACAAACCTGAAAAATAAGTAGAATAAATCTTCTAAGCTTGTGTTCACCGGTTCTATCAACTATTCAGAAGTGAAACAATAGGAATTCGAACAGTTTTGTCGAATTAATATCAAATATTCTTCTCAGTAGTGAAATGTTTTTACTTAAGTCTAAGGTGAACCATGTGGATGTGGGCCTCAGAGAAAGAAAATCATTCAACACAACAAATAAGCAATTATGACTTTTCGAGAAATTAGTAAATCATAATTAACTTGGAGACTGGTACAAATTAGTGTTAGCCCGAGTAGCCGTAGCGGTACATAAGATGAGACTAATATAATGAACAAAGAATTAGGAATAATGGCAGTATCAATGATACCGTGAATGATGGAACATTTAGAACTTGATTCGAAAAGAATGAATAGGGAGAAGTGTATGAAGAGATACTAGAACTGGAGATTTAAAAGGGAATTAAAAATAGATTTATTTGCGCCCCTGCAACTGATTTTGACATATGTCACTCGACATCCCCCTACCAAATACTGACAGTGGTCATCAAACGGACTTCGATGGGGCATACATATAGACTCCAACTTTCACAATTTAACACACAATGAAGAAATTAACAGAAAGATGAAGTCACTAAAATTAACAATAGATGTCAAAAATAAATGAATTGAGATTCATTTTGAATGAATATATGTGCTTATGGAAGGATGCTATGCCATCTTTCAGTTTCATTATATTCTAGCCCGTTCTAGTGCATCGGAGTCAAATTACTGTACATGTGTACTACACGCCTTAACCACTCCTATTGATGGTTAGACTAAGCATTTACATGTTATATGCGTTTAAATAAGATGCGAGTTGACTGTGTATGTGGGGACGTTATGGTTACATGGATAATTAGTGGGCATCAAATCAAATTTATAGACATTAAAAAAAACCCTGGAATTTCATCTGGTATTAAGCAAAAAAACTAATTAGTTAGGACTATAGTCAGTATGATATATAATTAAATAAGTCTGGATAAGATTGAATACTCGAGGTACAGATGATCTTAAATGAGAAGTCGGATACGACTACTAGATGTTTATTGGTTGTGTCAACTGGATATGCTACGAAATCTGTTGTCTAAGCAAGCTTCGTTATTATTCTGACTATTCTAGCTCCAAACACTATTCAACTATGTTGAAACTTAAAAGCATCCATCTGTTAGCTTCTGTACAGAAATGGTAATAGACTTGTAAAATATACTACCAACGTTAATCACCCTCATGAATTCAAAGACGTTAATACCTTGTTTCATGGCAACAACCATACCAAGGTAGATTTTCCCAGTAAATTTATTAGGATTACCAGTGGGTAGGAATTTATTAGGCAACGAAGTTAATGGTGATGATCATCCGTCTCATTTTATCGGGGAGTGTGACGACTATACATCACTTAACTCAAAGAATCAACATCATTATAGTTAATAAGTTTCTGAATGTGGTAATGTCGCTCTATAGAATGTTATTAAATATTCTGTTATGAACCGGGGTAATGAATTCAAGATCATTTAAAAGAAATGTTGCATGCAATCAGGTATGTCATTCTTTTACAGAAGCTAACAGATGGATGCTTTTAAGTTTCAAAATAATTATGAAGCTTGCTTAGACAGCAGATATCACACACGTGTAGTCATACAACAACAGTCTTCGTGCTGCAGAGTTATAAAATTCATCTACATGAATCACAGAGATTTATCGGATACTGTCTTTCGGAAATTGTTAACTAGGAAAAAGATTTTCGCGTACATGTAGTAAATATGATAGTGAATACAAGGTAAAAAGTTCACAAGTAAATTTTTGTGGGAAAAATATTAAACCCCATATACTACATACAGGTGTTCGGTGAGCTACTCAGGTTTTTATACTGCATAGCATAGCTAAGCTGCAGCTCGTTTTAGTTTAATAATAAACTTATCTTCGGTAAGATTATATAAGCTGAAGAACTTCAACAACCAATCAGACTTCAAACAAAACTCATGAATTAGGAAGGATAAAAGTCGACTTTACCATAGAGTCCGTCATACGATCAACATAGAGATGAGGAAAGTTGAGTTAGCCCAATGTTTCGAACAATATTAGCACAACGAAATTAATCTAACAAGATGTGTAATATATCGATAGAAATAATTTTAATAGCAATGATAAGAAAGAACTAACAGTGGGAACAGTTCCAGAAAACAATAAAAAGGTATGTATGAAGGCGACCGAGGACGAAGATCTAGAGAGAGACAAAGCAGTGAATGCATACGAACCACGTCATAACAGATAACCTTTACAAACCAAATATTTATGATAAATCATTCAACAATTTGTACGGCAATAGGTGAACGTCGATAAGCTGTAGCCTTAGTGAAAACTTGGAGTGTAGCTAATTATAAAAATATTTGTTAAACACTCTTTTTGGGAACAACATTTTTGTATGCATAGGAAAGTTTAGCATTCTTATTCGACAGTTAGAACCGCGGTTCTACATTTGTGCGTAACATACCTGGAAGAAGCTAAGTATTCAAGCCTATATATGTCAGTCACTTATTAGAATTGGGCTACATCTGCACATTGACACATGAAGAGCAACTAGGGCTGTAGGGATATACCTAATTGTATCAGGAAACGATATTTTCCCCATTCGAAACGCAGAATCCCTAATTTTTATGAACAGATATGAGTCTGCTAAGAAACACAACGATTAATGTGATAAGGTCGTGCCAAATATTACACGATAAGAGTGCTGTACAGATGTCCAGATAGAATAGCGTTATGGAAGTTTGCAAAACTTTTTCAGGAGCAGTTAAGATAAAGCGTTTCGGCAGATAATGTCATGTACTCGCTTGTTAATACAAAGTATCAGGTTGGTATTTTCAGATCTGAGAAATCAAGGTATCCACACTAAAACAACACATTAATTGAAGTGTGCACCACAAATGTGCTTTAATGCTAACGTAAGCGAAAAATAAACAAAATGTGCGCCACCTTTTAGGTAATGTGATAAGCATAACAGCAATCTATCAAATATCGTGTACATTTATGACAATGAAAACGAAATGCGATGGTGGCTCTGCTAGCACCTTCACAAAACCAAAAATGTGTGATGAGCGACCATATAGTAAAAGTATCAACAACAAACCTTTCTCAGATTTGACTAATGTTCGCAATGTATCGAAAAGATTGCGTGGGCGACCTGGTTCGGATGATGACATTTTCAAATTGAATGTGAGGCAATAATATGCCAACCAAAAATCAAGTATGGTAGTCTTCTCATGCCATAGCTATTAGTAAATAATGTTATTGTCCTGTAGGGTTTTTCCCTGAAAGTTGTTTAGTCTAGTTAGACATCATGATTTATTTGGCGGGTGTGGCGAATTGTGCGTTGTTTTACACAGTCCTTAGAATATCTCAGCTGTACATATGTTTGTTGTGGGAATAATCAACCCGCTAACTGTCCCTTTCATAACTTGTACGCGCAAGCCGATAAGATTCCTGAATTTGTGTAGCTTATCACACGTTATAGATCTAAACATTTTTGACCATGTGTTGTAGGTGTTATTGCCTTAATTAAGTTACTCATATTGTTTCATTCTGTAAATTGCAGTTAGAATTGCTTTGCTGTTTAAGATATACTCGTCAATTTTATCCCAGTCATCTAAAATCAAATCTAACGTATCAAAAAGTACCTTATTATTAACCAGATGACATCAAATATGTTTCTTAGTATGCAGTGTTATCTCGATTCTGATTTGTTTTCATGAACCGATTTGAATGTTAGCGTAGAACTAGTCCTATACTCTTATATATGAAAAATGTTGCTCGATATATTTTTCACTTAGAAAGAAATAGTCAAATAGGGAGTGGACGTACTCAACCTCCCATTATTTATATATCTTAATGTCGTTTTTATATATGGCAGCATCATATAGGGCTTAAATTGAAATGATAACTATTATTATTGCGCTGTGTTTTTAATGAGAACTATAATATTTATCATAAGTGCAAAATTTACAATAGCTTAATCGTTTGTATACTAGTTTCTCGTGAATCATCCCGTCTTCTTAAAAACTTTCATGTTTTTAATGATTCAGAACTCCTAAAAACCAATTAGTTTAACATAGTTACATTCACAGCAACCTGCACTCATAAATTGGTAGACACTGTTCAATCACTGTTGGATGACAAAATTTATTAAGGACAATTTCTTGTTTATTGTGGATTTCTATAGTGCTGAAAATCCACATTAATGGTTAAATTTCTAGTGCCTCTTTATTTTCAATTTTCTATGGCCCTGTATCTATATGGATTTCATGAAGTGCGTGATAGCAGCATACTTTAGGGCATAAACCATGCGTTACTAAATTTTCTCATCATTCCTGTCATATTTGAACGATAGCTTTGTTAGATATCCTATTGGGCAAACATTTCGAATCTCTGGCTTGTGCATCGTCAACAGATAAACAACCACTGATATTTAATCAAAGACAATGCAACCAAACGTTTTTGTATACAGTCAGTGCTGCTAGTTGGTGCATGATCCACACAATGTGGACGTTTCTTTACATTAGCCCATATCACACTAAATTACATGTGGATCGCAAATGCGAGCAGCGTCTTATTAATTTCTTCGTTCTGACAACCGATGTAGAGCAAAGTCACTCGTTTAATAACTTGCAAGTTTTTGATATTTGTCTGTACACGTCAACGTCCAGCAGATGACAGGAAAATTAAAAATCTATATGTCTAATATGACAAAAATAAACTTAGAGGACTTCTAGTTTTGGCTTCGTGTTAATAATGCCCAATTTATAGAAAACGTCTATTATTAATATGAAGGCAATGAATCACATTTCTATTTGTTTAATGAGAAACATTGAGGTGGGTCGAATGGAATTCTTATATATCTATGCACAAAGAGTTAACACTTGTTTATACGTTCATTATTATATATCTTGAGTTATCCTTTGATGGCGTAACTGAGAGTTCGGCACTAAACTACATTCACTTTAAATTCAATTGATAAAAACAACAAAGTGTTCAAAGCACTTCGTCAATTGTTCTTGGAGGGCTTTAAATCAATATTATGAAGTGAAGGAAACAATTGTCTGGATATCCGTCTAGTACATTTGTTTAGGCAATACGGTATTCGTTCCATAAACTTAAATCTCCTTGCAGATTATTAATGTGAAGAAAGTAAACTAGTCATGGAACAAAGCAGTATGACTGAAGTCGTCAGTCTCATTTCGCATCATATTCTTAGCTGGCCAAGTGTAACAAACCGCTGTTAAAAAGTAGTAGTAACAATTCTTTGTAGTAGCTTTGGATTTCGATATTACCAAAAACGTAGCATTCAAGTTGACCTTTCTATGTGGATTCTTAGTGATCAGTTCTTTACACTATGTTACCTTCATCTATCAGACAAAATGACATATATTTCTTTTAAATCTCAACGAGGAGTCATTAGTTGTCTTACTGGGGTATTATTATACATTTTCGAAGTGTAAATAAGAACCCTACTTAGAAATCGTTGTCTCATCCAGCTCGTTGTGTTCTGTCAGAAATACAACCGTCAGTTTCGTTCACTCTACTGTACATAGTTATTATTTTCCTAATTATGAACACAAAACAATGACCAGGTCTTTGTCCTCAATGCTTCATCCTGTTTACTTATGGGTAATCTGTAACCTGTCTTATGAGATAGAAGTTTGTTGCTCGAAAATGCTAGTCATGTTGTTTTCAGTAAGATCTCATATTTAATTCCGCACAGGATTTAGTTGCGCTTGAGTTCTAAAACCATACATTTTGTAAGGCAAAGACTACAGACCATAATTTCGCATCTAATGTTCTACTTTTAATGATTGAAAGCATAGTAAGATCAATATATTCGATATACTTCTGCTATTTCGCATTTTTGGTGGTAGTGATATTTGTTCATTGCGATCAGAAATTGCTCAGACTTCTGGTCCTTGAAAACTGTATTCATAATTAATTTGCGTGTTTGTTTACAAACCATTATCATCATCGAAAGAAACATCCACATATATTTGATTGTCTTCACAAAGATATTTTTCCGTTTAGCGTAAAATTATATTCAGGCTTAGCGCATATCGGTTCGAACTTCACCACTTCGATAATAAGTGATTTTCAAATCAGTCAATATATTTTATCTTCAAAATAAAATTTGTAGTTTATTACATCGATAAAACTATATTGAGTGGAAGCATAGAATTAGACAGTTGTCTGTTTCGTCTAACCCTAAGACTGTTGACAACATACACATACGAATGTTAGTTAATTAGTAACTAAAGTACATGTACGTTTAGGTTTTTTTAGCTGATGGTTTTTTACTGCCGTCTTATCTGTATTAAATTAGTGCTGTTAATTGACTTCAATAAATTTGCGATTACGTTACCTCCAGCGAGACGGTAAATGAGTCACGATACAAAGTGCTATTAAGTACGATTTATTTCAAACAAGCTTGTTCCCCAGACAGAACAAACGATATTGAAATGAATAAGTACTCGTAAGAATCAAATGAAAGTCGGAAGTGTATATATGAATTATCACACATGTGTATGAAAAAAATCCCGAACCAAAAATGCAGGATCTAGCTTGAATGATAGGTCATCAGGTAAATGTGAAGACACTAACAAACACATACGCGTACATAGATAAGAATTCGTAATAATTTGTGTATACAAAATCATCAATGAAGTCATGCATTACTCATCTCATTATTTTTCTTGACATTACTGAGAAATATATGTTTTCAGAGCAACGGGAAAGAGTGAAATGGTTATTATGCAAAGTGACCAATGAGCTCAACTGGAGTTGGATACTTTTCCGTGACTTGATATTACGGTTTTTACTTCGATGCTAAGAGCCATTCGTCAGATGCTTTAAAGTGACTTCGGTACGTGAATTTAGATTTTATTACATAGGTTACATGCTACAGAGATAAATCAATCTTAACAATCCTAGATACAATACCTTCTAGATAAATCTTCGGAGGACCGTATGTAGGCTTAGATATTTCCAGTGAAAATTATAACAACGCATGTGAACGAATGACAACGTTCCCGGTGAGATCATAATCGGGCTTAACTTTAATATACGTATTTATATGAAAATATTAAGCCAGCCCAGACAATTCTTGAGTCAATGATCATAATGAAATAATTTGCATAACTACCTTTGATAGGTAAAATATACAAGTCGATAGTTTGATTTGTCTATATAGGGCTTACTACCAATCAACTTAGCTAACGAATATGCGGAAATCTCCCAGAATGGTTTGGAAAGAGCCACAGCTTTATCTTGTCACACCTTGTTGACAGTGATCAAGTGATAGTAAAGACCCAATCGCTCCGTGCGATCTATAGTACACCATCACTCCCCATTGGGGTAAGATCCCGTTTCCTACATGTAGCAGACGCTATTAAGAAACTGACTAATTACCTCTGTTTGTTCATTCTTCATCCTCTTTCGTTCACATTATTTACTACCTGTTTATTTACACACCTGACATTACATGGTCTGAGTGGTGTTTCGTGATCATTAGTTTATTTATCTAAATTTGTCCCATGTGTCTTAAAATATTGGCTAGAATTTTTACTACTCTTATCCCTACTGGTACAGTCGTTTTCTTACTACCAATTTATACTTATTACCTATTATGCCTAGTTATGCAATATACTTCATTGTGATCAATGACCCGAAAATTACCTTGACTAGTTTAGCATTTTCATATAAATATCCATGTATATTAGAGTGAAGCCAGATAATGATCCAACTGAGAACAATATTATAGGTATCATTACCAAGGTTCGATTTGATAATTTCGAATAAATTGAGCATTGGGTAGATTGTTATAAATAAATAGTATATTTGTAATATCCCAATGAGTAGAAAAATCAGATTTTCTGTCGTTTCGTGACTTAGTGCAAGTCACTTCTTCTGAGAATAAATAACCAAATTAAAATTAATATTACAAATATAATATTTATTTATGAGAACAATATTATCCGACTATATGTGTGTCGAATGTTATCCAACTTCATGACTAACGAGTATTCGGAGAAATCTTAGTAGCTGTATAAAATACTAGGTTGTGTATATTATAGTAATTCAAATGAACCAGTTTAATGAAGTTTTTGATAAAGTTAAATAAAAAGGGATAGTTCCTAATCAATGACCGTTGTGACAAGAATAA